GCAAAGGAGAGTATTCGCCCAGTGCTTCTGACCCTGCCATTGAAGGGCCACCAAGAGTCTAACGACTTCATAATCTGGTCCCCCACTACTTTACACTCACAGCTTACTTTGTGAATTGCTGTCGTCATGGGCCACAGGTCCATTGAGATGGGTTGTCTCATCTTCTCTCACAGCATCTTGTCTACATCACCCTTGTTTGTGGCATGGGCATCTATAAAGCTAAGCTGTTTCCACACACCTCATCTTCCAGAAAACCTCATCTGAGACTTGTCCAATGGGCTTGGAGAACTCTCTTTTTGAGATCACCCAGGTGGCTTGCTTCCTTTGTTAAGATGAAGGATACTGTTTGCATCATTGGACCACATGCAATGGTCCATTCTCTGTTGCCATAGCAGGACTCATGAGTCTGGGTAGTTTATAAAGAGCATAGGTATATTTGGGGACAGATTTGTTGGGAGCCTGAAAAACCCAAGGTCAGGAGGCCACATCTGGTAAGGACCCAGTTATTTCACTGCATGGTTGAAAACAGAAGGACAAAGGGACATGGGAAGAGGGCAGGAAACAGAGCTGAACTCCCACAGCAGCCATTACTCCATCACTATGAGGAAAGTCCCAGTCTATTCACTGAGCTCCATCCCCGTGACTCAGCCTCCACCCACGGGGTCTGATGGCCCAACACAGCTGCCATGGGACCACACCTCAGCATGAACTTTGATGGGGAGGGACAAGACTCTCTCTAGAGCACCACTCTTAGAAAACAGTCTTAGATGTTGAATGGCAGTAGAAAGGAATGGGATGACGCTTAATCTGGCCGTGATCTAAGAGTCACACCACTGGGCACATCTGTGAGGGTGTTTCCAGAGAAGTTTAATGAAGGGAAAAACTGGTCCCATGGGCTGGGGCCCTGGAGTGAGGAAAGAGGGAAAGAAGGGAAGGGAACACTAACGTTCGCTTCTCTCAGCTTCCTGAGTATGGATGTGGTGTGAGCTCTTTTTTTTTCTGCTCTACGCTCCTGCTGCCACAGCAGCAGCCATCCCCGCTGCCCTGCCTTCCCTACAGTGACAGAATACACACCCAAACTGTGAGGCAAACCTGCTCTCCCTCCCTTCCAGTGTTTCTCTCAGATACTTGGGTACAGCGGGGGAAAAATTCTAACACAAGACACACTGTTTAGAAAAGAAACTCTAATAAGTAACAATGCACAAAATCTCTAAACTGCTTTTTTTATTGAAACTTGCGCACATACTCACTGCAAGTATGCCTGTGTTTTCTTTTGAATGGGTCTGGTTAATCACAGTAGTAAAATGTTGATGATTCATGCCTTCAGCTTCCTCACCTCCCCAGGAGCGATGATGTCATTGTCATACCACCTGTCTTGTTAGGCTCAGGGGTGGTGAAGGAGGGTGTCTGAAGGATCATGCTATCATAGCTGGACAGAGCCATTCTCTAAAGGGTAAGGTCACACCACAGTAGTAGTCCACCCCTGTAATTTCCTTCTCTGCTCATCTCTGTCCAATCCTATTCACATTCTCTGCCTACCGTCTTTGACTTGCTTGGTACAAAGGTAGGACTCTGCCTCCAGTCTCAGGGTTCCAAACCTCTGCCATTACACACAGTAGAGCCAACATTCACTGCACGTCTGTGACAATGGCATGACAAACATCATAGTGACTTCATTCACTCAAATTGTACTGACCGGACAATCACAGTAGTGGACATCTTTAGTCCCAGCATTCAGAAGGCAGAAGCAGGCAGATCTTTTTGAGTTTGAGGCTAGCCCGGACTACAAAGGGAGTTCCAGGCAAACCAGGACTACATCTTCAGACCGCGTCTCAAACAAAACAAACACAGGCTAGGACAGGGAAGGAAGAAAAAGAGAGCCTGCTGGCAGACTCTCATTTGCTCCACTTTCTAAAAAACTAATTTATTCACTTCACTGGGGATTTACTGTAAGCCTATGGAGTAGCTTACATTGTCTTTTTCCACAGAAGGAATCTGACCTCACTGAATTGGTTATCACGCAAAAGATACACAGGTTCATCATGGGAAGAGCCAACACTCTTACAATTCCACACTGCCTTCCCATGACAAGACCTACACTCCAGGAGCTAAGTGTCTTCAGCATCTATGACATCACAGAGTCAAGGCTTTGATTTTAACACGTTCTCTAGACCAGAGGTATGGCCACACTGGGTTTCAAGGACAACATGGTCAAAGCTAGAGAAAGAGAGTAAAAAAAGCACATAGGAGAAAATGGCAGACTGTAGAAATAGCACAGTATTCAAAACAGCCAAGATAAGGAGTTGATGGAAATGTTCTTCAACAGATGGATTGATAAAGTATGATATGATATATGTGTATCACATATATATGATACATATCTCACATATCTCATATATATGTATATATGCATATACATATGTTAGAGCACTGTTCAGGCACTAAAAAGCATAAGACACTGTCATTTGTGGCAGTGAGGATGGATCTGGAGAGCGTCATTGCAGTAGAATAAGCAAACACTGAAGGACAGAAACCACACGATGTCACCCATTTGGAATATTAGGGAATGGAAGGTACACACGTGGTCACCTGAAGAGGAGAAATGCCTTCTGGCCTTCTATAGCTCCAAGGGATAACAACTTTAGTTGGCTTTCCATCCCTAGAATGAGATATCCAAGACAATTGGCTTCTAAAGAGGGGTGACTTCTTTTGAATGTTTTGGATGGCATTTTTGGAGGTCCCAGCCAATGAGCAGGCAGAGCCACTGTTTTAAGGCCTCCAGTGGGGAGGCCAGATGACCATAATGAAGAGCGTGACAGAACAAAGATCATGGCTAGAAAGCTAAAGAGATCCTTCAGTGGCGGGCCCCCAAAGACCCAAGAAAACACCCATTCATTCCCACCTCCCAACACACCACACCATCCTGGGACCAAATCTTTAACACAGGGACTTTAGGGGGCCAGTGAACACTCGAGATGTGGTATTGGGAGAACAATTGTGTATTTCAGAATAGCTAACTGAGAGGACTTTGAATGTTCCTATACAAAGAAATGGCAAGTGCCCGGAGGTTGGTGCACAGTGAGCTAGTAACTACACATTCCACAGATAGGCTGAAACGCTGCACTGTAGCCCCTGATTGTTGGTGCACAGTGAGCTAGTAACTACACATTCCACAGATAGGCTGAAATGCTGCACTGTAGCCCCTGATTGGGCATAGCTGTTTACCGATTGAAATGATTTATTTAATCGGCTCTTATTTATCAGCTTCACAAGTCAGTTACATCCCACTTGCAAATCTTTTCATTCTATTTACAAAACCATCTTATGGTTCATAAATATCTGTGTGTATGTGCTGGTGTGAGTATATACAATGTGTTTAGAGGCCAAAGGTTCAAACTATGTGTCTTCCTCAGTTACTTTATAGCTAATTGAGAGAGAGAGAGGTCTCTCACACAATCTAGTGCATACCAACTTAGCTAAAGGGAGATGCGCCAGCAAGCCCCAGGAATCTAGTCTCTCTCTTCCCAGTGTTTTGATTATAGCCACGCACCATAGCGCTAGACCTTTTATACTTGGGGATCCAGGAGCCCAGACTCAGGTCTTCAGGCTCGCATAACAAGCAAACTACTCACTGAGCCACCTCCCCAGCCACGTAATTTGTCTTGATCATTTTTATTCCTGCGTAACATCTAAACCTTTATAAAAGCTTGCACGAAATTTCGGTTCACATGGGATTATATCTTACATAACTAAACAAAGTTTCTCTTTCTTTGCAAAACACCCATGACCTTTCTCTTAGGTAAAAGACCAAGATTATCGACTGAAACCCTGGCAGGAAAAGCAGTGTTAGACAAAGAAAATCCTCATAAACAATAATTAGAATAATAATTAAATGCCAGAAAAGGGCAGAGGCATGTGCTCTCTTAAAAACCTTAGGAGAGAATAAATGAGGATAAACCCTCTGTGAAAGCCTCTTGGGCTATCTTTAAAAGCTTTCCCAAATTTCCAATGGCTGTTATTAGCGATTCTTAATGCATGAGGTCGCCATTTCAGAATAAATCTTTCAGTAATTCAAAACAAGGACTCTTCAGTAAATAGTTGAAATTAAGGGGAGAGTCCGAGTCATCTGGTTTCCATTAGGATGATAAAATAGTTCACTTGAAACCTTTTACAATACGCTTTGTTACAGGGAGGTGTCTACACAGCTCACTCCATCACCGGCCATTTGACACAACATAAAAAGCTTCAAAAGCCATGTTAGGCCTCTTAATCAAAAACTAATTGTAATAGATACTGGGGAGTGTTAACACGGTGACCGCGAGGTTGTAGCAGTGGTGTGGAAGCGGCAGGGAACATTAAACACAACCCAGGGTGGATAGGGCTTATCTCAATTTCAGAGCTCAGCGCTAAGTACCGCCCGCCAGTATCTCCTGGCTCTTGCTTCGTGCCACTTTTGGAGTTAATTGCCCCGTAAGGCTCCATCTTCTTAATGAAATTTATAACGCTGTCAAAGACCTTGGAAGACATGGCTACAGTTTGGGAGACTTTACAGAAAACAGAGATATAAACAGAGGGGAAAAGAAAATACATACTAGGAGCCTAATGCATGCCAGGCTGGAGGGAGATGATGCAGGACTCCCAGGCCTGGAGAGGGAGGGAGGGTGGGAGGGAGGCATCCCCAGTGCGTTAACTCTTTCAAGCCTGTGAAGGGACCCTTATTGGGGGGTTCTAATGGAAGGCAATAGCTAGTGTTACAGGACCAATGTTAGGATTCACTGATGAGAACTGCCAGCAAGCCATGGTGGAATGGAGACTTGTCACGCTTTGGTGCCTGACCTTGTTTCAACCATACTGCCCATGCTCAGTGATGTTTCCTGGACTGTGATTGAAGAAATAGTCTTCTTACATAGGCTGCAGTTCTTCATAATTTTCAGGGTCCTTGAATGTTACTTCCCTACAATCATCTCCTTGACAGACCCAGCGTTTCATTAATCACCCACCTGGCCACAGATGGCCACTCGGCTCTCATGCCAGACTTCTTCATGTTCGCCAACCCTGGAAAAGGAGCATATTAAAAGTTAAAGACGACAGGCAATGGTGGATTAAATCCTAAAACAGCATGAGAAGGAAATGGAGAAGAAGAAGGAGAAGACAAAAAAGGAGAAGGAAGAGGAGAGTGCTGGTGAAATCCAATCCAAACTGGAGTTTAAGTAATAGTGTAGTGTTCTTAATTGTACTAACTTTCTTAGTATCATGATGTCACAAAAGGTTAGCATTGAGGCAAGCTGGAAGAAAGTGTATCAGGAATTTCAGTGGCATTTTGCATTTTTCTGTAATTCAAACATCATCCTAAAATTTAAAAAAAACTTGTGAAGATAACTGATTGGCTACAAGAAATATTAAGTATGTCCTTGTGCCAAAATGGCACTCAGATAATCTAAGTAAAAATTACTGGAGGAAGACCATTGTATTCAACTGACTATCTACTAACTAGAAAAACTATTTGCAGCAGGTGAAGATGATATAATTTCTCATACTCGTTCATATGTTCTTATGTTTGACTCTGTGCCATGACTTCCTTTTGTGCTGATAAGAGTTGTGCTGTTTTCTAATAGATATGAGAAATAAAATCAGGGGTGGGAGAGGTTGCTAGGTGTATAAGATGTTTGCTTTTCAGACACAAGGGTGTGAGTTGAATCCTCATTACCCCTGTAAAAAGCCATGTATAGCAAATACAATCTCAGCCCTGGGGAGTCAGTGATGGGAGAAGCCCTGAGTCTCACTGGTGAGTCGCACAGCCTAGTCAGTAAGTCCTGGACCACAGGGAGAGACTCTGTCTCACAAAAGCAGGGTGGACAGCTTCTGAAGAACAAAACCTCGGGCAGACATGTACACACACTTGTGCAAGCATCGGCACACACACATGGACACACACACACATACACCTGCACAATCGCACACAAAATAAATGACTGAAATCATTTCCACTGCTTTCCTTACTCATAGGAACACTAGTATTAAGGCTAATTTTAAATTGTTTAATTTTTACAAAATAAATGATTGTTTAAACATAGAAGTTGAAGTGCACATGGAGAATTGGTGTGGGAAGCTAATTATGACTAAGGAATAGCCCGGCACTTCAGCTGCCAACTCTTTCCCGATTTCCAAGTGCAGGATTCTAGCATGGACACCTTTCCTGTGCTTCAACCCAAATACCGGCATCGACACCCATCATGCCAGTCTCTGATCTTGTTCTTTTTGCGTGTCCTGCATGTGACCAGCTTCACCACTATACTATCAAACTCCCAGAAGAAGACTTTGCTCATTTACCCCAATGCCCTTAGCTGTTCATCTGAAACCATCTGAGCATAGGTCCACAGACAAGAAAAACTGCATATAGTCTTAATGACCATGATGCCAAGATGTTACATTATAAATTAGAATGGTTAGACTACTTTAAAGTGCCATTGACTGGTGCATGACGGAGAGTTTTGTTTTTCCTTGGTTTCAGAGAGGTTAGGAAGGCACTGCAGGACAGCCTATAGACTGTCTGTTGCTCTTGACAGCCTATTCTTAGACAGCTCAGTACCCCATGTGTGTGCTTCAGCCTACCTAAAACAGGAGGAGGAGGTAAAGAGCCAGCAATTTCCTTCTATGTTTTTATACAGTGAAGACAAATGGCTACACCTACCTGCAAGGGCACCTGGGAAATATACCCCAGTGACAAGGTCTTCTAACCATCTAAAAATGACAGGAGGAAATGGGTATTAGTGGGCAAATTTGGACCCAGCCAGTTATTACATCTTAGAGAAATTAAGCACTCAGAAGCTGATGCTGTGCCTATAATCCCAGAACCTATGTCAACTAGCAGTCACTGATTCACCTCGGATACACAGGGACCACTAATCTACTTTCTGTCTCTATGCATTTGCCTGTTCTCTACATTTCATGCAAATAGAGATGTATACTATGTCTTCTTAAGTGCCTGGCTTCCCTCACTAACTGGATAATTCTTCAGGGTTCATCCATACATCATAAAAGTACCTCATTTCTTTTTAAGACCCAGTATGATTCAGTGCATGGATATATCATGCTTTGGTTATGTGATCACAGCTGATCAGTACTTTAGTGATTTCCACTTGTGGCATCTTGAACAATATGGCTGACAAGACTCCTGAAGCTGTTATTGTAGACATAGGTTTTCAGTTCTCCTGGTTACATGCTTACGTGTGAAACTACATATTTTGAAAAACTGACACACTTTCTCCAAAAGTATCTACAGTATTTCTAAATCCCATCTACAAGGTATGGGGATGTCAATTTCTCTCCTCATCAAGTCTTGTTATTGTCTATCTTTTTCTATGTTCACCATCTTAGTGAATGAGTACAGTGGAATGCCATTGTGGTTTTTATTACTTTCCTAAATACTACTGATACTGAACATCTTCTATGTACTTATTGGTAATTTGTACATTTTCTTCAGAGAAAGGAGTCTGCTCCAATCTTAGTATAGAAGGCCTCTCCTACTATATGTGTGTGTGTGGGGGGTACACATGTATAGAAGTTCCCATGGTCATATGCTGACTTCAAGTATTGTTACCCAGGCACCATCCACCTTTGCTTTGTTTTTGTTTTGTTGTTGTTGTTGTTGTTTTGGTTTTGGTTTTTGAGTCAGGGTCTCTCAAGCATCCAGAGCTTGTCAACTAGGCTAGGTTGGTTGCCCATTGAGCTGCAGAGATCTACCTGTCTGAGTACCCCAAACACTGAGAACCTGCCATCATGCCTGACTTTTTATGTGAGTTCTGGGGATCAAACCCCAGTCTTCACTCTTGAGTGTTAAACGTTTTGCTGACTTAGCCATCCCCTTAGCCCCTCAAAGCCCATTTCTCATTGAATATTTGTCTTTTCATTGTTCAATTTTGAGAAACATTTTGTTCTCTGCCTGCAAGTTCCTCATCAGATATATGACTTGAAAATACCATTCTGTCCTATGACTTTTGTTTTCACTTTCTTAAAAAAGTTTTGCTTATGTTTTGAAGCATAAAACTTTCTTATTAACTTTGATGAAGCCAGATTTACATTATTTTTCTCTTCATGCTTTTGCTTTTGGTGTCATATTTAGAAAACTATTGACTAATTTTTTTAGCTCCTCCATTTAATTCTATGATCCATCTTGAGGTTATTTTTTTAACATAACATGGTGCAGGTGGTCTAATTTTATTCTTTTGCAAATAGACAATCAGTTGCCCGAGTATCACATTTTGAGAATACTATATTTTCATTCATCAACTTGTCTTGGCACTCTTGTCCAAAAACAGTCGACTGGTTTAGAAAAAGGGTTTATTTCTGGATGCTCAGTTCAATTCCATTGATCCAAGTATTTACCTTTGTGCTGAAAGCATTCTTTCTTGGTTGTTTTTAACGCATAGTTAGCTTCAGATTCTGCTTGTCTTCAGGATTGCTTTGTTTTGCCTACACCAAGTCCCTTTGATTGCCATTACATTTTTAGCCTCAGCCTAAAAGTCAGCAAGAATTTTGCAAGGATTTGCATTGACTCTGCATATGAATATTGAGTCTTCCAGCTCATGAACACAGTATGTCTTTTAAGTTATCTAGAACTTTAATTTGTGTGAGTTCAGTAGTGTGCAGTGTCTGAAGGTTGCATGTTCTGTTGAACTTAGATTAAAGTGTTTTAATATCTTTGATGTCAGTAAATTGAATTGTTTTCTTAATTGCATTTCCTACTGACTTATTGCTAATATATCAAAATAAAAGTAATCTTTGTATATTAATCTTGTATTCTGCAACCTTGGTAACTCACCTATTAACTCTAAGAAAATTTATATTAATTCCTTGAGATTTTCTATGAACAAAATGTCTATGAATGAGGTAGTGTCATCTTCATTTAAATTGAGACAACTTCCTTCCTTCCTTCCTTTCTTTCTTTCTAGTCTGGATACATACATATTTAAAATTACTATGACTTCCTGGTTGGCCTTTTTATTATTATAAAGTTTCTTTGTCTTAAAGGCTCTAACCTTTGAATTAATAGAGTCACTCTCACTGGTTTTTGGTTACTATGTTTCTATGAAGGTAAAGTCTGTCTGTAATGGGAAAGACAAAGGTGAAGAATCTTTTTTCCTAGAGTCAGGGACTAAACACAGGACCTGGGACTTGCTAGGCAAGTGTTCTACCCCTGAGCTATATCCTCAGCCCCACACCTTTCTCTTTCAAACGTTTTTTATACATCTAATAATCGCTGCCTTTTGATTGGAGTGATTAACACACGTGCATTTACTATTTATAAGTTCATGCTTCCATCTGTCATATTTACTATATGTCTTCTATATATTTTATGTTGTTTTCTGTTTCTTTCCTACTTTCTCCTTCTTTTGTAAGAGACACTTTACAGTATGACATTTTAATAATCTCAGAGTAGGTTTTCATTATTTTCCTAAGAGTAATCCTGAGTGTTATAATCAACTACTTATAACAATGTAGTTTACACTAACACCAACTTGTTTGTGATCATACATAACAGCATTGCTACAGTCTGGCTTCATCTCCTTCATCTTCTTTGTGCGATTATAGTCATAATCTATATATTTGTATACATATGCCAGTTGAAAAATTCCGCTTATAAAGTTGATTTACAAATAAGAAAAGAAAAGATTTATAAAGATTCACCAATACTGTCTTCTAGACTTGCCTGTGTAGCTTCATCTCCCCATTAGTAATTTACTGCCTATTGTCCTTCGGCTCTACATGAAGGACTCACTTTAATACTTCATTTAGAGCAAATCTTTTGCCATGATGCTTATTTTCCTTTTCTTTCCTCCTTCTCCCTCCTTCTTCACCTGTATTGATTTTATTTCCACTATAATTTTGCAGGATAGCTTTTGCCTGGCATGGAATTTTTTGTTCATCTTTATCTTTATCATCTTTGCCATCCTTACCATTTTTCTGTCTTGCTGCCTGAAATGAGAAGTGTTGCCTTTTTTTCTATGCTCATGTAGGAAGGCAGCTGTTAATTCTACTGAGGAATCTGTTTACCTTGCTGATTTCAACAATCTTTCTCTTTGTCTTTCAGCAGTTTGGCTATGGCTGGGCAGTTCTTCCTTCCCAAAGTAGTTTATGGTCACTCCTTTGTGCAGTGTAGGCTTTGAACCGACATAGACACAACACCTGACATGCAGGATGGAAATAATAATGCTTACCACTTGGAGTCATGAAAAGAGATAAGATCATTACATTTTCTGGCTGACAGAAAACATCTTATCTATGTACTTTTCTTAAAGCGTGGATCCCTTTGGGGAGCATCCTGAAAGAGAATGCTCCTTGCCTTGCTATTTCTATGAATGTGTGCAGGCTGAGTCATTGCATTGCTGTTATTGCAACTCAAATATGACCTTCCTAGAGACACATTCTTTGACACCCCTAAGGAACCCTCTACTAGTCATTCTTGTCCCTACTGAAGATTGAACATCATGTGACCAAGAGCCTGGAACCAGAAATGTTTCAGATTTATGATTTGTTGCTGTTTTATAGTATTGGCAAATACACACTGGAGGTGCTTTGGGTGAGACCCATTTGTAAATGCAAATTTCATTTATGTTTCAGACGTACTTTATCTACACAGACTGAAGACAATTTTACATAATACTTTCAACGCACATGGATTTTGACTCTACCCCGTTCTGTGTGGTCAAAATAGATGCTTCTGCCAGGGGTGCAATGACAACACTCCAAAGGCTTCAAGTTCTGCAGCATTTTGGATATTTAACTATCCAGTTAAAGATGTGTTTGGATGGCAATTGTTCAAATAGGTACCAGTTCATCTGTGGCTGGGGATTTGTTGAGAAGCAGTGTTTTCTGTCTCAAACCAGGACAGTCTGGCAAACACCGGAAAAGCTCGGTCAGGGAGTTTTCACTCAGTGTCTTGCTTTTTTCCCCTCGTAGGCTTTACTGCTATCCAGTACTCTTCAGGTTACCTTGTGCGCGTTTCATAGTTCCTTCAGTCTAGAATGCAATTCTTGTGAGGATTCAGACAAGACTTCTTATGGTTTGATTGTAATGCTAAATCTAAGCACTAAGTATCTTGAAAATCAACTGAATTTTTATATTAGTTGATTGATTCACTTTTATTTTTTTACATGTGTATGCATACGTGGTGTACATGTGTGTGGGTGCACCTGTGTGTAGGGGTGCATCAGTAGACGTGTATGTACATGTGTGTAGAGGCTCAGAGTTGAAGTTGAATTACTAAGTTGCTTACTTCCCACTTTATTTAAGGAACCTGGAGCTTGCTGATTCTGGCTAGTCTAGCTAACCAACCTGTCCCAGGTAATCTCCTCTCTCGATTTCTTTAGGGCTGAGATCACAGGCATTGCCACACCTTCCCGATAAGGATTCACCATTAAGACATTTCCCCAGGCCCGATGCCTTTTATTTTTAAATGTCCAGTTTTCCAATTTTCAAGTTTAACAACATAATAAGAAACTCTGATTTCTGTAAGACACCATCACTATTGAAAGAACATTTTGTGGAATGAGAATGCCAAGTAAATTTAAACTCTTGTGCCTATGAGGTTGTAAAGAATTCAAATAGCTATGTTCTTTCTCTTGTGATCCCCAGCTATGTAATGAAAGAAATATAGATATTTCTACCGTTTACCCTGGAATGTTGGCTATAGCCAGTATCACCCAGTGTGTTAAATACAAGATTAGTGTCTGCACAGGCAAAGCTCTAGCTGTAAAATGCATTCAGGAGGAAATCGCCACCTTTTCTTCCTCTTATTATAGCAAGAGCATTACTTGTAAGACCCATAATTACTTTAAATATTCCAAAACGAACACAAGAGCTACAAATCTTAAAGCACCATCAGAACCCCCCCCCCCGTCCAACTCTAAATGAAGCCAGATAAAGATGCTGCCCTTTCTCCTCCCTCTATCAGTTTACTATATAAATGAGGAGACATAAAGTAGTTTTAGATTTAATTAAAGTAATTGACTGAATTGCATTTTGTATGGTGATCGTCATTAACACTCCTGACCTTTCTGTCACATAGATATGCCAGAGAATTTTTCCGATGGATATTTATTGTGAATATTATCATCAATAAGCACCATCAACATATTAAAATTAATTTTAACTTCTTTATGGAAGACTGAAAGCGTAACCAGCTGTTGGAAGCCATCCGTTCTAAATCATTTTTTATCGATTCAACATGGATAAACCTCAAGTACAACTAATGGGGAATTTTATGTGTGTGTAGGCAAGTTTCTATACATATAAAATATTTCATTTTATTTCATATCTAACTCTGGTTACATTAATTACATAACCATATTTCCCAAAGCCCAAGGATCCGATGGCTATTTTACGTACCAACTGTGCAGTCTCCATGAGGGCTTATTACTTGCCCATGTGGGTATGTGGGGGCATATGGACATTTGGTCTTATTTTGACTGCTTGCAAAGAGCTTAATAAAAGACAGGCTTTGGGGCATCAGAAGAACTTAGTCCACAGGTGTTCTGAGCTGGGTTAACTTGTGTGTAGAGCAAACAATTAAGCTGTGGAATTTGAGACCCTAAATTGTATCAGTTGAGCACCTGTCCAGGAGGAGAAGGAGGAAAACACCTTTCATTACATTACCTGAGGGCATGGCGAACTTTGGGCTGTGTAGAGTTACAGCAGATCCTATTCAAGCTTGCTAGCTGAGATGTGGCTCCCTCTGCTCACACTGCCAAGGGCTGCAAGTCGAATGCTTTCTTACTGACTGTCTCCATCACTATTAGCCCCCACAGCTATGTGTCTCTCCACATCTCTTCCTGTACTTACCATTTTACCCAACACCTACTAAAGTGGGCTAAAGATTTTTCAACACAGCATTCATTTACTACCTCCAATAACACAATAACGTTTAGAGAGGCTAACATCGAGCTGAGAAGACAACCCAGTCAGTAAAGTGCTTGCCTTACGTGGATGAGACATGGAGTTTGATCCTTAGCACCTAGGTAAAAATTGTTGGGCATGGTGTCCATGATTTTAGTTCCAGATCTGGGTTAGGGGACAAGTGAAGACTTGCAGAAGAACCTTGGGACTCACTGACCAACTAACCTAGCTTACTTGACAATATGACCAGTGAGATCAGTTCCAGATCCCATCTCAATAAATAATAAATAAATAATAAATTTAAAAATCAAAAGGTGGATAATACCTGATGTTGCTTGAAGTTGTCTTGTGGCTTTTGCACACATGCACACACATATGGGTGCACAGCCCATAATGGCATACTGCCCACACATATACCCCCCAAAAGGAATGGAAAGGAAGGAAGAAAGAAGGAAGGAAGAGAGAAGGAAAGAAGAAGGAAGGCAGGAAGGCAGGAAGGAAGGAAGGCAGGAAGGCAGGAAGGAAGGCTAAGTCTTGTGTATAAAGCAAGGCAAGTATAAGTGACAAACTCAAGTTTCAACACGCAGTGTCGCACATTCCAGAGCTGTTCATCTTTGCCACTATGCTGTCTCACGAGTGGTAGTTCCTTCAGTGGGTCTTCTGACCTTCTTGGAGGTATCTCCTTTAGGCTTTAGCTCTTTAGATTTGCTATGGTTCTATACCCAGCCTTCTTCTCTCCCTTCTTACTCTCAGATGTCTGCTTACCGATCCCACTGATCCCCATGATGGCCCCAGTCACCCCTCATGGACCATCAAGTGTCTGTTAAAGCAGCTCTCCTTCCTGTACTTCAGACTGGAAATACAATTCTTGCTCCAATCTCCACGGGGGGGTCTGGTAATCTGCCCCCATGAGTATAAACTACACAGGCATCTTTCCCAACAAGCCCGCTGTTCCTCCACCACCACGCAAAGATTTTCTTATTGGAAATCCAGCCTGTCATCTGGCCTCTTCCATCTTCCTCATCAGACTGGTCACACCACTACTCACTGATTCTCCTTCGTAAGTGTTCAAATCTATCCTCCGTCCCTCTACCAACAATGCAGTTCTAGTCTCTCAGAGACTAGAAGGGAGATCTTGACCTCTGGGTGGTAGACACCAGGGATGTTGCTAAATGCCTTAGAGTATGTGAGAAGTCCCTGCCAGAAAGCATTATCCATAACTAAATATTGTAGTGCTAATAAATCCTGCACTGACCCAAGTTACTAGCATCTCCTATGACCTGATCCCCCTCCCCCCGGAGCTTCAACACATTCTCAACCCCACATACCCAGAACAGTCTTTTTCAGACACTAGTGCAATTCTCTCCTTGGAATTCACTATGGCTTCCTGATTCCCTTACAGATAAAATACTTGTTCAAGTGCGGAGAATCCCTACTGTGTTTCTTTAGCTTGCTTCAAGCCACTCTTTTTCTTTATCCTGATGTTCTTCTTTTACCTATGAGGTGATTTTTAGCCCACATACCTCTCACATTCCCTTTACACCCCTGCTCAAGTGCTGTCTTAACAGGGGAGTCTTCCCTGACCCTCCCAACCCTTTCTCGACCATACCCTCCTTTAGCTTTCCAGTAGCGCTTACCTCTTTAGTAAGTACTGCTTTTACTATCTTTTAATTTGTTTCCCAGTTCCCTGTCTCTTCCATCACAACACAGATCTTCTTTCCTTTACTATTTATACAACTGCTACTAACTGTCCAGCAAATAATAGACACTCAATAAATGTTTAGTGACCTAAAAGTCATTTTCCTTTCATTGATTTTTTTATTATATAAAATGTAAGAAGAATCGGTGTTTTCTTTTGCTAGACTCTTTTACTAACCATAGACAACCACGTGGCATAAAGACTGGGCTGATGGACAGCTGAGGCTTCCTGGCCCCTGAGTTATGACTGCATGTCTGAGACATCCTGGCTATGCACACCAGGTGCACACGCCAGCCAGCCACAGCAGGAACCAGGCACCTCTTCACACAAAAGCGGACAGTCACACTGAACTGCAAGTCATGTTGCTTTGGACTAAGTCTTTGTTTGCCTCTGGGTATTACTCGTACTGACTAGAAGGGCAGATCCATCTGACGTGCTCCTGACTCTTAAAGACAAAGGCAGTCTCTTTCGAAGCCAAAGCTCTTTATGGTTGGAGTGACCTCCTCGGCCTTAAGTTCTTTCCTAAGTCTGTGCTGTGGGTTGACTGTGAAATATCCCTCATAGGCTGGAACACTTGGTCCTGGCTGGTGGCCCTGTTTTATTTAGAAGGTTGCAGACCTGTAAGGCGTGGAACCTCATTGAGCGAAGTGAGTCACTGAGAGTAAGCTTTGAGAGTTTATTGCCTAGCCCCCACTGAGGATGCAATGCGACCAGCTGCCCAGCAATCTGCTGCTATGCTTTCCCCACCAGGATTAATGATACCTGTTCCTCTGGCTGGAGTTCACTAAAGGCTCCTGGAAGTCCTGCGAAATGATTTGCCTAGCCTAACACTAGCCCTGAAAAGGTCTGCAAGCTGTACACTTGAAGCTGAATGAAGCCTACCGGCTGTGAGTTGTTTCTTAACAGACATTTGAGACATCACCACACTGAGGGAAGACATGAAGATACCCTCCCTTCTGACATGAAAGTCCCTTCAGAGGGTTTATAAGCTAAAACAATGACTGTAAAGGCAGAAAGAGTAATATTACAAGCATAAATGGTGAAAAGGGAGCAAAGGGTACTAAATAAGCATTGGATGGTAATTAAATAAATAAATACCAAGTGACCTAGCTAAAATATGCCTTCAAAGGCTGGAAAACAGCATCATGAGCCTGAGCTGGGGTAGTGGGCGTGGGCTTTGTGAAGGTGGTGACATCGGAATTGGGTAAACTTGGAGGAACAGCAATATAGTTATGTGTCCAGAAGGGAAGATGGGCATAAACAATAATAATCTAGGAGTTCAAAAGGTGTGTTTCAGTTAAGGAGCTCAGACTAGCAGGAGCTTTGGACTCAGCTTAAGGTCGCACTGCATCCTCAGTCAGTTCAGCAAGGTGACCAGCCTGTTACCTGCACAAAGGAGTTTGACCTTGCCTCTACTTGGGAAGTGTTAGGTTAAGCAAATAATTTTTGCAGGACTTCCTGGAGCCTTCAGTGAATTGCAGTGAGGGGAAGGATAGTATATGATGGATTAGGCTCACAATGTACTGACTAGTTGACATGTGAAGTGTCAGAAAAAGAATGCACAGCTCCTGTCTGATGGCTTCTCCCAGCAAGACATTGTCCTCTTAATATTAAAAAATAAACAAATAAGTACTCAAGGGCCACTGTTCCCTTTGATCACCTTCCAGGTGCTTGGTCACAAGAGTATCTGTCCTAGAATTACTTCATTTGACTGTAATTTCTGTAGGGTCAGGAGTGTGACTGGCCTTGTCATTCCAGCAAAGGGCAAGTAATAAGAAGAAGAGCTCTATCTAGCTTTGAGGAAATGGGTGGAAGGACTGATTCCCTGCTGAGATAGTTGGGATGTGTCTGAAGATGCTTCTCTAGAGGATTCTGTCAACATTTGATCCAGTTCGCCAACATGAGCATTAACACATTGCGAAGCAAAACCTTTCTGTTTGACTTTATGCCCTATACAGTCAGAGCCACAAGCTGCCTAGGTCCTACTTGCTGCCTGTGTCAGGGAGGGCCGAGTGTGGTCTTCCTCCTGTTCAGACCACCAAAGCGGGGTGCCATCCCTGCCTTCTCCATTCACCTGTTTTGCATCTCAGTTGACTTTCCTGACTCCCAAGGCCTATGGGATTAGGAAACAGAGTTAGTCAATTTCCACTCTGGAGTCCTGACTTTATACCTAGCCACAACTGCAGATGAAATTAAATCTGGAAGATCAAATCCTTATTCTCACCTTGTTACCTGGATGAATCGCCTTCATCCTGTGGAATCATCTATGTAAGTAAAAATATCCTGTCAAATCTCCACATGCCAAAAGAATATGCAGCATGTTCAAAGCTCTCTTCCATATCTAGTTAGGCTGCCTTCTCTTCTTAAACCTCACAGTACCTCTTAGTAAATTTACTCTAATTCTAAGACCTTCCTCTATTTAATGTCTTTTATTATTTTACATCCATTATTATTCCCCATTGTCCAAACTCTTCTGCCACGCTGTTTGCTCCTTTCTCAGTCCCACCACGTCCATGACGCAATCTGAGTAGACCTTTGGCACTGATGTATGTTTTAATGTAGAGTCAGCTCATCTCATATCTTTAATCCAACATTGTTGGGTCTGTTGTCCTAAAATAAACATGTAGCGGGGACCCCAGGACCCTTTGGGTGTCCATCAGGGAGATCCTTCTACCTCATTATTCCATAGAAGCTAGGGACAAAGGGTTTCAAGGATATGTTGACCCCTGTGCTTGTCCTGGAAGCATCTTGGCCTCATTTCCAGAGGGCTACCTTGCTTTATGACTCAGCCCCAGGCACGCCCTGCAACTATAGTTAGTGTTCAGGCCAGGTGCAGGAAGAGATTGTCACCAAACACCTCCAGCCATCTGAGCTGTCCTCAAACTTGCCTCTTGGGCTTGTCTTGGAGCCTGTCAAAAGAGGAATGACCTGTCTGCTTGCCTTCTGCTTTCCCTCTGTTCCTCAGAAACAAACGGAGGGTCTCCGAGGCTCTGGGAGGTAATTGCAAAGTGTTCTCCGTGTGCCATCCACCAGCACTCAGTCAATATCAGTGCATACCTTCGGACATTGCCCAGAGAAGTTCTATTTGATCTGGTGACCTAAAGGTGAATTGTAGGTCAGACTCCATTACACGTTCGCTGAGCTCAAGTCAGCACCAAA